AAAGTCAAACCGGGCAATGAATACCCAAAAAACAATGTATCTTGTCCTGTGATTGGAATACCACTCGCCGGCCAGTCCTTTAGGTTTAGGGAAGTAGTGCAAGTCTATATATAGCTTCAAGGTCTTACCCACCCCTTCCCCCTCCGGTCCTACTTGACTCACTACCCGCGCTCCATTCGAGGTCATTGCCCAACCCCTCCCAACCTTCTATTGTGCTGCCTTTCTATTGTTTCTATTCTGACTTTTTTGGAAACATTTAATCTATTGTTTACGTAACATCACAGTAGTAGGCTAGATTTTTCTACTTTAAAACAGTACTGTAAAAAAAACTATTACGCAGTGCCCCTAGTATCAGGAGCGAGACAAGCACGAGTTGACTTTCATTTGACCATGGTAGTTCTTTTCTGCTTTATGTCCGTTCCAGACGAATCTAATAGTAAAGCAAAACAGCCGATAACGACTAAACTAGTTATCAGTATTGCATCATACGGCTTCTTTGCCGTTTGCTGTTAGGTCGTTGGAAACGTATTGCTGTAATTTTGTCCTCTGAACCATAAGTTGAATACTAATGGTGGCTATGGAGATTTAGTTTTCTGTCCAAAACGTCAAAATATTGGTGTCCATTAAATGGTCCTGCGTAGTCCATGTGAACTCTTTCAAAGTTTTCCTTAGGGATTTCCCAAGGGTGAAAAACTTTTGTTGGCTGTTTTGACTGTAAAGCACAAGCTGCACATGATCGAACTTTATTTTCAATGTCTTTGTCGATTTCGGGCCAATAACAGTGGAGTCTTGCGAGTCGTTTCATTCTTACCATTCCTATGTGTGTTGCATGAAGCTCTTCTAAACATGAGAGCGTAGTGATCTTGGAATGTAGACACGTTCTCCTCTGAATACAATTCCTTGATTGGTTGAGTAGATTGGATCATTTGCACCTTCTTTTATTTGTTTCATAAGATCTTTTATTCCTGGATCGTACGCAGTTTCTTTTGAAATTGAATCACTCGTGATGTTGATTGATGAGATTTGAAGGATTGAATTGTTCTATTTCATCTTCTTCTTTATTCAGTGCTGTGTCGATACCACGATGTTCCGTTGTTTGAAAAGTCCTGGATAGAAAGTCTACATTTTGGTGTTGTTCTACTTTCTGATGTTTGATGTTGTATTCAAATCCTCTGAGGAAAACTGCATAGCGTAAAAGTCGACCAGCTGTCATTGGAGGAACATTCTTGGGGTGAAATATTAGTGTGAGTGGTTGATTATCTGTTACTGTTATCAATTCAAACTTTCTTCCATAGAGGTAGTTGACAAATTTTCCAATAGAAAATACAATAGCGAGTGCTTTGCGATCAAGTTGGCTGTATTGGGACTCTGATTTTGAAAGTGAGCGGGAGACGAATGCAATGGGCCTTTCTTCTCCATTGATAATGTGTGATAGTACTCCTGAGATCCCATGTGGGCTTGCATCGCAGGCTACGGATACTGGAAGGTCTGGGTCAAAAGGAACTACCACTCTATCTGAGGCTATTTCTTTCTTGATGTTCATGAACGCTTTCTCACAATCTTTTGTCCAGTTGAATGGTTTATTCTTGACGAGTAACTGGCGTAGAGGGTAAGTTATGGTAGAAGCTGCTGGAATGAATTTTGAATAATAAGTTACAAGTCCTAGAAACTTTCTCACTTCCTCTACTGAATTTGGTCTTTGAATATTGAGGATATTTGACACTTTTGCTGGAGACTTGTATATCTTGTTATTTTCAATAACATATCCCTAAGTACCTATGTGATGATTTCTTGGAAGAATGTGCATTTAATTCTGCTGAGGTGAAGATTGTTGGTTTTGAGTCGCTCCAGACAAGCTACAAGGTTGTTGAAACATTCATTCAAAGTTGACCCGTAGACAATTATGTCATCAAAGTAAGAGCTGACACCTGGGAGGTCTTGTAGAACTTGTTCAATTACTTTTTGAAATATGCTGGGTGCAGTCTTAATTCCAAAAGACAATCTGTTGACTTTGTACGTACCTTTATGGGTTGATATTGTTTGAACACAAGCACTTTCTTCATCGACACCTATGTGTAGGTAAGCTTTAAAGAGGTCGAGAGTACAGAAAAACTTGGCATTTCTCAGTTTGTGGAGTGTTTCGTCGATCCTAGGAATCGGATAGTGTGAATCGTAGAGTTGAGGGTTGACTGTGACTTTATAGTCTGCGCATAACCTAAGTGTACCATCAGGTTTAGGCACTACAACTAAGGGTGAACCCCAGTCGCATGATTCGATTTTAGTAATGATTTTGTCTTGTTCGAGTTTGTGAAGATCATGTACCACTCTATCCCGGAGTGCATACGGTAAAGGTCTAGGTTTGAAAAATACTGTTTTGGATTGAGGTCTTAACTTTAGAGAGCAGGTGACATTAGGAACATGTCCTATTTCTGGTGAAAATATTTCTGGAAATTTTGATTCCACTGCAGTAACTAGTTTGTCTGTGTCACTGGAAACTAAGTTTACATAAGTACCTGTACCTTTTGGTCTCTGGGTGTCAAGATCGTTCAAGTGGACTACAAGTTGTCTTATCCAAGTCCTACCTAGTAGAGGGCTGTACATATCAGGAACTACAAACAACTGCTGTGTAGATGAGCGTCCATTGTATTCAACCTGAACATTAACTAAGCCTAAGGGTTGGAAAACCTCATTTGTGTAAGAACGAAACCTTATATTTGTATTCTGGATTGTGTTTTGAGGAAGATTAAGTCTATCAAATTGAGCCTTTGGTAGAAGGGTATGAGCTGCGCCTGAATCTACCTCAAACTTTTGTGGTTTCCCATTGATTAGAATAGTTGTAAAAATTTTTTCTGTGCCTGATGAATTGTAGTCAGATACATTGAGAATTTGAAGTTGCCCTATTCCATAAAGTGAGTTTAAGTCCTGTGAATCATTTGGAGTAGTACTTATTGTATTAACTGTAGGCCTTTTTTTTTTAGAGAGTAGAGTTGATATACAGACCTTGGCTATGTGTCCATCCTTGTCACAGTTTTGGCAGTGAATGTGTGATAATTTGGTTTTACATTCCCTGGAAGTGTGATTTGCTTTACCACATCTTAAACACAGGTTTCCAATTCCAAGTGTTGCCAAAATCAACCTTATTTCGTCTTGTGGGAGGGTGGTTTAGTCTGTTGTTAGATCTGTTGTTGCGGTAGGCTGTCCTTCTTGGTGTATAATTCTGGTGTATTGGTCTTGTCAATAACTTGTTGACTTCCACTTGTTGACTTCCGCCTGTGACGATGTTTGAGGACTAGAAAAGTTGTTCAGAGTTGCACTGTCTATTTTCGAAGCTTCAATTGCTATTGCCTTTCCTACGGCAATGTCAAATGTTAAGTCTTTGGTCTGGATTAATTGTTCTCTAATTAAAGAGTCATGAATTCCCCTGATAAACTGTAATCTTAAGAATAAGTCAGATACAGATGCTTCACATGATGTACAGGTAAGTTTGCAAGTTGCAATTTGTTTCCTAAGAGCTGTTAGATAGTCTGTTATTGATTCATTTTCTGCCTGGATTCTGGATAAAAACTTATGTTGTTCTACAATTTCATTGGTTTTTGGAAAGTAATTGTCTAATAATTTTGTAATTTCATCATAGTTTTGCTCATCAATACTTTTTGGAGCTGAGAGTGATGACAAAAGGTCATATGTTTTAGAACCTACACTATTGAGAAAAAGCTGGGAACAAATAGTTTTATCATCAAAAGCATTCTTTATCTTTAGGTAATTTTCAAATCTTTCTTTGTATAGTTGAAAAGTTTCATTTGTTTGAGTCAAATTGTTCGAAATTGGAAATTAATGTGATGTTGGATTGTTGAGACATTGACATACCTTGAATAGCTGAAGACAAGGTCTTGATTAATATTTCAAATTGTTCTTTGGTTCATTTTGAAAATATATATATATAATAAACTTTAAAACAAATAGAAAACACACGTTAGGCTCTTCTCGTCGCCATTTCTGTTATGTATTGTAAGTTTATATATTGAAATAAATAGTTAAATAAATGTAAGTTGAAAAATGAGCCTTATTTTTTCACTAGTTTATTTACATTAATTTGAATCACATTTTTGAACTAACAGATGATTAAATTATTAATTGCATAGCATTTGAAACATAGAGATACAACAGCCTAATAGGTACTAATAATATTAGTGACTAATATATCTGAAAAAATTTGGCGTAGCCTATAGTTACTTAATTAAAATACCTATTTAGACCTAGGCTGGGATGAAATTTGTTTCAGCAAAATGCTACAAACTCTCAGACAACTGGAGCAAAAATATTATTCTTTAAGCATTGAAAAATCCCATAATATTATGTACATGTTTGAGCATTACATCTTCAATTCTATTTCTAGCAAATTTGCTATAGCCTGCAAAAACAATGTAGGCTAGCATTTGAATAGCAAAGAGGTAAAAAAGAGGTAAAAAGAGGTAGTAAATGCTACCGCAGCTTAAACCCTGGGCCTAGGACTACTTAACGCGCAACTACTCAACTCGACTCAATATTCAAGTTTTTACTCAAATTACTCGACTCAAATTAAAAAATAAATACCCGCCCACCCCTATAAAAACTCCTATTTTATGTTATCAGTTGACAGAACCATACCAGTGGAAAATCTGTTTACTTATGTGATGTTGATGATTGATCACTATTTTTCAAATAATTTCAAAGTAAAGATGTGATGAAACACAAGAGGGAGTTTTTTTATTGTTCCTAGTGATAATAATAAGTACCTAAAGCAAACAAGAAGCTATTTGGTACCAAAATTGTTTGCCACAATAGGTATGTAAATAAAAACATAATTTATTGAAGGCAAAACTAAAAGAAATAGTGTATGGCTGACTAGTAAACAGTTTCTTGAAAACTGATATTTATTGTTATTGTTAAAGTTTTGAAGGCAATGTATAATATAAGTTTGTGTATATCCTTTGATATCACCGGTATTGAGGATTGTTTACCTGTTGCTGGGGCTGAGGCCTAGGCAAGGACAACTGGTGAGGACTGGGTACAGCCTGAGTGACACACTGTGTAGTAGGAGCCTGTGTCAACACTATCTGAGCCTACAACAAAAATACAAGAAGAACAAGTTTGCAAAATACATTCCCGCTCTTACTTATAATTCTTAGTTTCAAAAATGCTAAACCGTCAGTGTTGGGGAAGCTACTTTTAAAATGTAGCTAGCTACAACTACTGCTACATTTCCAAAAAAGTAGCTTAGCTACAGCTACAGCTACAGTTCCGAAAAAGTAGCTAGCTACAACTACAGCTACAATGAAATGTAGCTACAGCTACAATTTTAGCTACTTTTCTTCCAAAGACGTTACTTTTTATCCCACGCACATTAGGTAAATGTAAAATCAATTGCAACTACATTTTTACTGAACAAACATTTAAACAAAAAATGTCAGTATTGTATCTAAAATTATTTGGAAAACAAATTATTCCTAGATTGTATTTAATTTGTTGGCATTATAAACCTAAAATTACAACAACAGAACCAAATAGTTGGGTGTCCCATCATCATATTTAGTACTTATTTTTAAATATTGCATTATTTTTAAGCATCTTATATGTAAATTTCATTAAGTTCAAAGGACATACAACCAAACGATATTTTAAAAGCTCATTTTATTTCTTTAACATAGATTCATTTATAGATCTCTTATATCAACAATTAAGACCAATAAAACTGTAAAACGATTATTTAAAAATACTTTTTTGTGTTACAGAGACTAGCCTCCTGAAATTGGAGTTTATTGCATTTCTTTACTTTTTATGTTAAAAACGACATTGCTATAACTTTTAACCATAGTGATAAGTTACTTGTTCTATGAATAACACTTTTCAATATCAAGAAATCATTTGTCATTATGCATAGGGCAAATTGTGCTTCAACCTAGTTGGTACAGAAAACAGTATTCAGCAACTTAAGTTATCCTGAAATCGGCTTTTGATTTAAACATGTTGAAATTTGTAAAGTAAAAATAACATGTAGGCCTACTTGGCTATGTAACAAAGTTGGCTATAGTAGGCTTGTTCTTGCAAAGGACTAAACAGATATATTCCTAATAATTGAACTTGGTATTCGTCTTAACCCATAGCATAGCCTAGGAATAGGCCTATACAAGAGCTGTTAGCAGGAGTAAACTATGCTATTTTTTCAATCTAAGTTTCATGTTATATGGAGATTTTTTCGTTACAATTATCATGTAGTCTAGGCATATCTTAAATCTCATCAGGTAATTTCCTCTTTGTTAATTTAGTAAACCTTTGAACAATCTTCGTAATCTAACCAAGGAAGGGCTTGTGATGACGAACCACAATCAACAGCTGAAGCTAGACCAGCTTTCTCATTACTTTAAGGTTTAGTGTTGGTTTCCATTAAAACCCAAGTTGGTACACTATCAATATAATAAAGAAACTAAATTGATTACTAATTTCCCTGTCAATCACTTGCAAGCATTCAATAGCTTCTCTTGTCACCGGTATCGTTTAAACGTTGTCTGCAACTAGCGATTTTATTTTATCTGACAGTAATCATAGAGTAGTAAATTAAGGAAATGAGAGCCAAAAATGTGGATAACACTCATTTAATGGCCTCCATGTCCACACAACATTGTAATAGGGAATGAAACGGCTGCAACCAGCTGTATGAAGCCAAGGAAGTAGGCCTAATTTTTTTGAAAATCTCAGTTTGAAAGAGGTTGTTTCACGTAAGGTTGAGGTTATGATAAAAATCACTATCTCAAACAATGTTAATGTAGCGAGAAAAGTAGCTAAAGTTCCGCTACAACTACTTTAAAAATGTAGCTAGCTACAGCTAAAGCTACGAAATCTTAAAAGTAGCGTAGCTACAGCTAATGCTACAAAAAAAGTAGCGCGCTACTGTAGCGTCGCTACTTGTAGCGCGCTACTTCCCAACACTGTAAACCGTATAATATGCATAAACTGCTTGGATACCTGAATAAGTTCTTATTTCAGGATTTTCTAGTGAGAATTTTATAATGTAATACAGGGGTGCCCATCCCCTCCAAAGCTCACGTCGCAGAAGCAGAATCCCCCCCAAATTCGTTGTTTAACCCATGCCAGAAGGTCTGGGGGCTAACCCATAGTTATGTTTATAATGCGGGGAGGGCAGGAGTGCCCCCGACACTTCTTTAAATTTATGGGAATTTAAGCGTTTGAATCAAACTTTTAACCCAATTTAAATGGACAATTTTGCTTTAAAACTCTAGTAGCAAACTATTTGTTAGTTTAGTTTTAATTTAAATGAGTTGGATTTTTAACATGCACACAATTTGAATCAAAATTTGCCATGTAGTTTTTTTTATCCAAATTTCCATGAATTAATAGGTTTTAAAAGGGAAAATCACAAAAGTTGCAATAACTTTAGAACCATAATTTTTACGGCATAGAGGGTTTATACAATTTTTGTCATAGTCAAAGAGTATAACATGTTAATTTTTAATCAAAATCGTTCGGGCCAATTCTGAGAAAATTTTATTCATCCATTATTTTATAGGGTTTAATGGAATCACTATTAAAAATCCAAAATGAAAAAAAAAACATCTGGAGAGACCATGGATTGGTACCTAAAATACCAAATTTCATCAAAATCGGACTCGGACCACAGGCGTGGTCTGTAGCTCTGTACCATACATACACATATACACACATACAGACAGACAAACACATCACTTCGAAAACCACTTTTTTGGGATCAGGGTTTTTACATAAACAATTCTTTTACCATATTAAATTGTAGGGGAGAAAGTACTTAGAGTTATGTCAAAAAGTTTGAGATATTTTCTAAATTGCCCTTTAAACCACTTCTGAGTTTGGTCCTTTTTAAATAAGTGTATAATTGTCAGTCTCAAAAATATTACTAGGCCTAAACTTAATAGTATATTTCGTGCCTAGGGCCATAAATGAGGTTTTGCTGGTTCGAGATAGTTTTTAAGTTCGATACAAAGTCGAGGACTTAAAATGATCGAGAACTGCAAAACCATTTCAGTCTGTGGTACGAACGCTATTATTCACCACACTATACCCTATTACCACTAATTCACCTCAATGATAATGCACTGCACACTGATATAGTCAACACAACTACAACTTTAAGGTCATGTGGATAAATTATTTGAGGAATCAGCAAAAATAATAATAAGTAGTTGCTAGGCAGCGTTGACAATAAAACAACTCTATTGCAATGCTATGGCTACTGATTGTGTATTTAATATGCATTAATGTTTTAAGAAAGTAAGCGGGCAGCTGATTTTGCGGCCCTAGGGATGTAAAAACCTGCTCGATCCCCGAATGACGATGACAGCTGGCATGGCCTGCAAATGTAACTTTCAGCCACCAATTAATGTACCTATATGTAAAACAGTTTAAAAGATCATAGTGTGGTAAAATAGAATATTACGTTACTAGTCCTGAATCCCGTGCGAGACGAAGTCGAGTAGTGGTTTTTTATACGAGTCCGGCCAACACATTTTGGACGAGTGACGTACGATAGTTTACGCCATACTACTAAATCCGTTCAAATCCCTATATATTACCACCAACTAAAGGACTAAAATCACTAGTCATAACCTCTAAGAGAGATTATGTTTTTGTTATAACTACTCATTGCCACCCAAATACAGTACAATCAGCTGATAGGTGTCCGGCAAAACTCATTACAGTACAGTAGTAGGCCTACTGTATGAAACCCCATTTGATTAAGCTGGCGACAAACAGCTGTTTTCTGGACTAAATCCTTGCATGTGAAGTTCGTCAAAATAGTGTAGTGTGGCGTAAAAAATAATTATATATCTATTCTAAGACTATTAAAATTTGTTTGAAGCTCTTTCTAGATTCAAGAAAAGACAATAACAAATACAATTTAATTAATCCAGAATCATGTGTTTCAATTCTTGAAGTTAACGTAAACACATAGCCTATCAAAAACCTTAATTAAATTGTCACAGTACTGTATGTCAATTTCTTCCAATGAATAAATGATCCAGGCATAATTATTTGGGAGAGCCAAAATATTATCACAAGCTTTCATGTTGTTGTTCATGTTGTAAAAATAGCAAAATGATTATCATTATCATAATACTGGTTTTTTATGAATCAAGTTATATATTATAATAAACAAACCTAAAAAAACCATCAATAGGTCCTCAAGGCAATGAGACTATTTGAGAATGAGTTCATAATGAAAGGTAAAAACAAACTCAAATTGCAGATACAATTTAATAAGCCAACCATAATCCTTTGACAGCAGTTGGCATGGAGTTGTTCTCACTGTCAAACATGATACGAGTCAGAAAGTGGAAATCCACATAAAAGTATCTATATATGTTATAGCAATTATAAAATGATTTATTAATCAAGATAAAATGTCAAACGGGATTTTGATTGCATAATTACCCCAGTAATAAATTAAGGAGGTCGTAAAAATTATCTGATTAATCTTTTATGTGCTTTTAACCAACCACTGGCTTGAATCCCCCCCCCCCAAAATCATAAAATCCCCCCCAAATAAATTTCATCAAACCACACTGTGGGCACCCCTGATGTAATACATAAGGAAAAAAGTTTAAAAGATTAAAATTACTCATAGTCCCAGAGGAGGGATGTGTGAGTCCGAGTTTGAGACAGTTCTTCTCTGTTAGATTGTTTGTGAGTCTACTCCAAATCCAAGTAGACCTGGACGCAATTCATCATCCTTTGGATTTAACTCATGTGAGTCCAGTGTTTTGACCAACAGAAGCATTTATAAATTTTAAATAAACTCAAGTGTTGAATACATTTTAACGTGTGTACATTTTTACCAATTTGTTTTTCCGGAACCGGGAACCGAGAACTGTTTTCGGCCAAAAACCGAACCGTAAAAAAATGGAACCGACACATCACTAGTTATGGCTGTAAAATTATCAGACAAATGGGAAAACTCATACAGATTAGAAATTAATTGGATAAGATCAAGAACAATTTGTGCAGTTTTAAGGGCAACAAACATGTGTCTGAGATGAACGAGAAAGAAATGGCGATCAGCGAGGAAATTTAA